CAGGGTTGGTGTCTCGGCCATGGTTATATGACAGTATTGATATTTAACATGAATAGAAGTGATTATTAAAATACAAGATTTGCAGTGAACAGTCTTTTTCCCCCCTTTCTCTTTTTAAAATTGAATCACAGTGATATACACAGTCACAAAGTTGTTCATGATTGAGTTTCAGTCATATAATATTCTAACACCCATCCTTTCAACAGTGTACATTTTCTACCACCAATGGTCCCAATTTCCCTCCTGCCCCTTCCGCCACCTGCCTATATGGTAGGCAAACCCCACTCCCCCTCTATGTCTGTCTGTCTGTCTGTCTGTCTGTCTCTCTCTCTCTCTCTCGCTCTCTTTTCTTCTTCCTCTACCACTTCCTCTCCCTCTCCCTCCTTTTGGACCTTATGTTTGCAATGCAGATAATGTAAGGTTATCAGGTATATCTCTTTATCTACTTTAAACACTCAAGTTCCTGTCCAAAGTGATCATTTCCAAGTATTATTATTGTGTTGGTTTCCTCTCAATCCTAACGGCCCTTCGCCCTCCACACACTTTTTTGGCATTGAGAAATCTTAATCGTGATTATATTACTTCTTTTAATATACTCAGATTGAAAAGTATATGTAGGAAAAGTATTTGTAGCCCACATTTTATTGTCATTATGATTTCTTTCAGCATAACATTTTATAATATCTGGGAAGGTTAAAATAATAAATCAGTATATACTTTAAAGGTCAGATCTCATGCATTAATGAAAAGTGCAAATTTTTACTTGTTAAATTGTAGTAAACTAGACTCTTTAGAAAATTTCAAAGAATAATTGGTCAGTTTAGAAAAATAAATCCAGAAAATGGATGAAATTAGTTGTGGTTAAACAGGATGATCTCACTTACCTGTGGTATATAACTGGATGGTGGAATGCCATGTTTTAAAGGGGAATGCTTAGATCACCCTTCACCCAGGGTCTACTTAATAACAGTTCTGTGCTCAGAAATCACTCCTCATGGTGCTTGGGGGACCATGTGGTCAAACTGAATTTGGCAGCATATAATGCAGCTGCCATTAGCCCCTGTACTATTTCTCCAGCCCGCCCGCCCGCCCTCCCTCCCTCCCTCCCTCCCTTCCTTCCTTCCTTCCTTCCTTCCTTCCTTCCTAAAATTTATTTATTTATTGAATCACTGTGGGAAAAGTTACAAAGCTTTCAGGTTTAAGTCTCAGTCATGCAATCATCAAACACATTTCCCTTCACCAGTACTCATTTTTCACCACCAAGAACCCCAATATACCACCCCCCCAACCTCCCAGTGCCTGTGAGGCAGATGAATTCTAGTCAACACTCTATCTACTTTGATTAGATTCATTGTTTCGACAAAAGATGCACCATTATTATTTAGAGTTTATACCCCAAAATCAGACCTGCTGAAAAGGCATTGTGAAATAATTTATTTTCTAGAGCTGGTTGGAAGAAGCAAATGATGTCGCGTGGCCTCAAAAGCGGCCGCACGATTTTGGATTTCTGATATCTTACTTATTAAGCCTGGAAGTATTTCTCCCGAGAGTGAGATAATTACAAGATTTGTTTCTGTGGCTCTAGAGCCAAGGCCGTGCCGGAGAGCCACTTGTGGGGGGTGACCCGTGACCTCGGTAGGGCGTGAAGGATGAGCCAGGAACATCCCCCTTCCCATGAGATTTCAGTCGCCTCGTCATGACTGGCTCATACCTGGCTTTCCAAAAAGCTCCCTTTTATTTCTTTCTTAAAACAGCTTTTGTCTTTCTTCCAGTCAAATCAAATGCTTTTTACGAAGCTAAATTTTTTTCTGTAAGGTATAGTCAGTTGATTTTATTTCATTTTATTTTTGATTGGAGGTGGCACATCTGGCTCTGTAATCTGGATTTTGCGTCTGGCCATTATGGCACCATGAGGTCCTTGGAATTGAACCCAGGCCTTATCCTTATCTTAACCCGGTGAACACTCTCTCTCCCAGTTCACTTTGTTTTAATTTAAAATGTTACATATTTTATGTTATTCTTAAACATAATTTTTCTATTTTTGTTTTTGGTGTTGGGAATTAAACCCACGATCTCACACATGCAAGACAACTTTTCTGCTACTGAGTTAAATCCCTGACCCAAATTTATTTTTGAAAAACATTTGTTACATTTATAGAAAAACGGCAAAGATACTCTACGGAGTATATATACTGATGAATGTTAACTAAGGCTCATTTTACAAAATATACAAATGACGAATCATTATATTGTACTAAAAATGTCACTTGTCAATTATATCTCAGTTTAAGATATTAAACAGTTGAGGCTGGAGCAATAGCACAGTGGGTACGGCATTTGTCTTGCACGTGGCTGACACAGGTTCGATTCCCAGCATCCCCTGAGCACCGCTAGGGGTAATTCCTGAGTGCAGAGCCAGGTTTAACCCCTGTGCATGGCTGTTTGTGATCCAGAAAGCAAAAAAAAAAATATTAATCAGTGTTGACAGTGCATTAAGTTAATGATTATGCCTTGAGGCTATCACATAAGCTAGAGCCGGTCATCTAGTTGACTTTCCATTCTTTAATATCATTCTGTATGTGAGTAGGCATGCTAGGTGAGTTTTTTCCTACTTATTTCCAGTTTACATGGAATGATCAGGGCTGGAGCGATGGCACAGTGGTAGGGTGTTTGCCTTGCATGCAGCCCACACGGCTCAGCCGGGTTCAATTCCTCCGCCCCTCTCGGGGAACCCGGCAAGCTACCAACAGTGTATCGCCTGCACGGCAAAGCCTGGCAAGCTACCCGTGACGTATTCAATATGCCAAGCACGGTAACAAGAAGTCTCACGATGGAGACGTTACTGGGTCCACTCAAGCAAATCGATGAACAACGGGAGGTCAGTGCTACAGTGCAGTTCTATGGAATGATCAAGTTTAATCCAGATTAATGCAACTTGCATTGTACTTTACATTTTGTGTTCAAGGGCTCTCCCAGCCATGCTCAGGAATTGCTCCTGGCAGTGTTGGGGGGACGCTATGTGGTGTCAGGGAACAAATGGTGCCTTCTGACTTATATTTGGTTTTGGGGCCACATCTGACGGCTCAGGGTTTATTCCTGGCTCTGTTCCTGGCAAGGATTGGGGGACCATATGCAATACAAGCGCCTTACCCCCTCTACTATATTTCTAGCCCCATCCTTTAAATTCTAAAATCAAGAAAAAAAATAAGGCTGTGTTTTCCTGAGTAACTCTAATACTTATTTTTAAGCTTCATTTTCTTAATCATAATTTGGAAATTATGTAAAAAAGCACTTGACATATAACTCAGTGTAGGCTTTGAAAGATAAGTGCATTATTTTCTCTCTGTTTTTGGGTCACACCCAGTAGTGCTAAGGGCATACTACTGGCTCTGTGTCCAGCAATCATTCCTGGTGGTCTTGGGGAGGGACTGACCATATGAGATGCCAGGAATTGAACCCAGCTCAGCCATGTGTAAGGCAAATACTCTCTGTGCTGTACTATTGCTACAGCCCCTAAAGTGCATTATATCATCCTCACAGATCACAGATCATCCTGTTATTCTTCGATTGCCTTGAGCAGGCCCCAGTAAGTCTCCTTCATCCTGGCCCTGAGGTTATATTCAAGGCTCTTTAGGAGAATGAGACCCATCATTGTTAGTGGTATTTGGCATATTGGGTACGCCACGGGGAGGTTGCCAGACTCTGCCGTGTGGGCAGGCTACATTCGGTAGCCTGCCAGTTTGTCAAAGTAGGAATGAGATAATAAGATGTCATAACAAGATGTCAGGCGGCCGTGAATGCGGCTGCGCGGTTCCGGGAGCTGGTTTTTATAGTCTCAGAGTCTTGGCCGCTGATGGGATTACACGGCGCCAGGGGGCCAGTTGGTGGGTGTGACCGACACCCCCCCCCCCCCCCCCCCCCCCCCCCGCCTACTGGAATTTGGAGGATCTGGGTGGAGGATGCTCGACTCCAATCCGAGTAGGCTTGGAGATCTCAGCCCCGGAACCCACGTGGCTTTGTCCCTCTGCCGGTACCTTCAGGTGTGCGGAGAGTGGTCTCAGCATGGTGGTGGCTGGTCCTGGAGGTCTTCGGCTGCCGGGGCCCTGGCCAGGGCGAGGAGGAAAGCTCAACCCGCTCCCCTCCAAGGGGCCCCAGCGAGGAATAGCCAGGTGCGGGGGCAGGAGACTGCGCTCTTCTCCTCCGGGAGCTGGTTTTTATAGTCTCAGAGTCTTGGCCGCTGATGGGATTACATCCTCACATTAAAAAAAATTCATCAGAGGGCTGAAGCCAGAGTGATGGTGCAGTGGGGAGGGCACTTGCCTTTCATGCAGCCAGTCTAGGTTCATTCCCTGGCATTCCATACGGTTCCTTGAGCACCGCCAGGAGTTAGTTCTGAGTGCAGAGCCAAGTGTAACCTCCGAGCATTGCTGGATGTGACCCCCAAAACATAAAACAAAACGAAACTAAAACTAACTAAACTAAAAATTAAGAGAGGGTTGGAGAAATACTATGGTGGGTAGGACACTTGCCTTGTACACAGTCGACTGCGGTTCGATTCCTGATGATTCCTAGCATCCCATATGAACCCACTGCCAAAAATGATTTCTGAGGTGCAGAGATAGTGAGTAACCCATGAATTACTGGGTATAGCCCCTAAGCCAAAAAAAAAAAGTTGAAATTCCGATTATGTAAATGTGGATTTACAAAAAATTAGTTATACCACAGAGAATCGCCATGTACCATCCACCCCTCCACTTTGTTTTCTCATTAATATCTTAGATTACATTTGCTACAATTAATGACTCTAACTTAAGTCTATATATATTCTTCAGATTTTCTTCGTCTTTCACTTAATTCTGTAACGCAAGTTTTGTATTTTGCCACTTGAAATAGAACAGAATGTTTACTGCAATCGCAAGTTCTTCATTTGTGAGGCATGGCTGCATTTTTATTTCTCAATGAAACATTCTTATATTTAATTTTGATTCCTTTCATTTTAGTTTGCGAGGAAATATTTCGGTAAAAGCTGTTAAAAAAGAAGTAGAAAAGAAACTCCGATGTCTGCTTGCTGATCTGCCGCTGCCGCCTGAGCTCCCAGGAGGAGATGATCTCTCCAAGAGTCCAGAGGAAAAGAGAGCAACAGCACAGTCACATAGTAAAAGGAGGCCTAAGTATGTGCTTGCTTTATACCTGCTCTTACATTGAACGGAGTGATGCTCAGTCTTCACAAAAACCCCATAAAATACAAAATTAAGATTTAAAATGATAAAAGTGTATTCTTTCAAGTATATGAATAAATTAGTTTTTTAAAAATTTTCTTAACTGCCTACATACCTATTCAAATGACTAATAAAGCCAAATAAAATATTCTCTGTTTGTAATGTATTAATTTTTTTGGGTTTTGAATATGTTTAAGATAATTTCCATTATTAAGATATTTGGATAATACAGAAACACTAAATTTAGACAAGGTGGAAGTTATCATTCATTGAGCCTAAACAAAATTAAAAAGGGGAAGTTAAGTTTTACTTCACGTTCAGTTCTATTTGCCTCCAGATCTAAATGCATTCTTCATTTTGCAAGAGGAGGAGTAGAAGGTTTGAAATCTGTATTCTAATTAGCTTCAAGTAAGTGCCTACAGATAACTTGAAACCTGTTTTTCATTTAAGGACAGAACGTATATTCTTTTTTAACTTGGTTTAAGTTAGTATAAACCAAGGGAAAACTTGAGTATCATCCTGAGTTAGACTTACTTTAGAATTGTTCAGATAGTGCCTCTGGTGTAAGAGTTTGAGGTGACTTGTATAGAGGAGAAAGCTAGAAAACATTTAAAATCATCTTGTCTTGAACATAATAGTTTAATTCTTTTCATTAAATTTCTATCACCAGATTATCAAAATGTTATAAAATTGTGTATTTTTGAAGAATATAAAATATTATATTATGTGTATATATATGTACCCTTTTAAAGTTTAAGAATTCTGGATATTAATATTTTTATATTCTTTTATACCAAAAATTTTTTTAATTTCTGTTTTTAAGATGCTTGACTAGTTTGTCTTGCAAGGTTTATAATTAGATTTTAGATAATGTTCCTTGTCAACCTTTTTTACTTTGAAAGCAGATACATATATATATATACATATATATAATTTTTTTTTTCCCGTTACACCCGGTGATGCACAGGGGTTACTCCTGGCTCTGCACTCAGGAATTACTCCTAGCAGTGCTCAGAGGACCAAATGGGATTCTGGGAATCGAACCTGGGTTGGCCGTGTGCAAGGCAAATGTCCTACCCGCTATGCTATCACTTCAGCCCCACATATATTGTTAATGTATGAGAAGAAACCTTTTTGGAGGTTGGTTGGAGAACTATGAGAGTGTAGTAGTTTAGTTTTCCCCACTGTATTTTTTTTTTAATCACATTTCTGAAATGTTTTTATACAAACTTTACTCTTTTTCTTTACAGTTAGTCTACAGAAGAATCAGTATGGAGAGATGTTAACTTTTCTAATAAGCAAATCACAGTGTTTTGTTTTAGATAATGGATCGCAGATATGCAAGGGTTGGGGTATAAGATTGGGTAGAGAAGTGGATATTGAATTTTTAAGCATTTTATTTGGTTTACTTGATTGTATATAAAAACTTCAGAACTGTATTTAATAGAATATGTGGGCCTCGCTATGGTGAAATCAAAGAAAAAGATATTGACTGGGGAAAACGCTGCGTGGATAAATTTGATATCATCGGAATTATTGGCGAAGGTACCTATGGACAAGTTTACAAGGCCAGGGATAAAGACACTGGTAAGAATTCCAAAAGCTATAAACTTTGTATATCTATGTATTTACATATATAAAACTTTGTATGTATGTTTAATATATCTTTGTATATTATACATTGTATAATGTGTAGTATATAATTTGTTTATACAGATTTAGGAATTTTCAAAAATGAATTGAAATCTATCTTTACGCATTTATATAGGATATGAGTACTTGTAAGAGTACATGTGGGATATATGTATAGCTAAGTAAGCATTTTGACATACTTAACATTTAAATAAACATTTCAGTATATATCTTTTAAAGTATACCTTTAAGTATTTGTGATGATCAGCATGGTTAGCATTTAGGTTTCTTGTCTTTTATGATTAGTAAATTCTTACATTATTAGTAATTAGTGGATTAAGTATCTTGGCCTTATCTAGTGTTAAAAGTAAGTTTTTTAATATTAAAGGTTAATGGAACCATGATTTTTTGGCCCCAGATTATTTGTCTAGTAAACAGGAAGTGAGATTTAGCAGCTTAATTTGTCATGACATAAAGATTGGTCAAGACAGAAGTAGGAATTTGAGAGACCATACTAAAATTTGAGCAAAGACCTTACAACAGATTCTGTATTTAATGCATCAGACTAGTGTTTGAGGGGCTGGATTGGTAGCACAGCGGGCAGGGCGTTTGCTTTGCATATAGCTGATCTGGGTTCGATTCCCAGCATCCCATATGCTCCCCTGAGCACCGTTGGGATTAATTCCTGAGTGCATGAACCAGGAGTAACCCCTGTGCATTGCTGGGTGTGACCCAAAAAGGGAAAAAAAAGACTAGTGTTTGATCTACTTAAAATTCTTTTTGAAAGAAATCCGTATATTAAATAGCACAGCTCTCTGAAGCCATTAACTGTAGAGGAGGAATTAGTATATTTTAGAAGTTCTGAAGGTAATTGCAATAAAGAACAATAATACTTATATCCACACTATTTACTTAATATGTAATGTTAATTCTCATGTAAAATCTGTTCACTTATAGTAGAATTTTTTTTGCCTGAGAAGCAAGATAATTTTTATCGAAACTTAAATTTGAGAGGAGAGAAAGAGAGAAGTATATATTCAAGAGTGAGTGTTCAAGCTTCTTCAGAGTGTAATTAGGCAGACAAAAAAGCAAGCAAGATATGTTTAAGTGAGAATATGGGCACACCTCTAGTAGAATTCTTTTATCAGAAAGACTAAGTTGCTACTTTAAAAACTTAAATACCATACTTCAGACAGCATGGTATTTAAGTTTTAATAGTTAAAAGATTGAACATACCTTTTTTTGGGCAATGGGGAAGGTTTGGCCTTGTTTGGCTGTACTCAGGCCTTACTCCTGGCTTTTGTATACAGTCCCTGCTGGGCTCCTGGAACCATAAGGGGTGCGGGGCCCCTTACCCGCAATAATGTCTATCTGGCCCTAACTCCTTTTGGAAAATTTGCAAGTACACAGTTCCTTTTTTTTTTACCCAAAGCGAAATGAGCAAATCTTAATTGCACTGAGCTTTTTCTTAACATAGGATTATGTGTGTCTTGTGTGTTATATGTACTATTTAAGCTTTACTGACACAAGTAGTATGTACTTTTGGGACAGCTAAACTCTGTATCTTAATAGCTTTGGGCAGTTAATATGTCAAAACATTTTGACATTATTGTCATTATATTGTCATTATTATATATCACCTCTATAATGTATAGAATTGGCTATTTAGAGAGATTTTATTCCTATATAAGCATACTGGATATATTTACCTTTTCCTCCAATTTTTAAAAGTAAAGGTAAAGGTAAAGGCCCTCCCATTGATCATCGATTTGCTCGAGCGGAAGTGGGATTCATTATTCTGCCTTTTTCATTTAATGCATCTTGGAGAGAAAAATATTTAACACTACATATGGATCTTTTAATACTTACTTAGTATTCCATAGTTAGGATAAATATCCCATAATTTGTTTAGCCAGGTATTTCATTTCTTGAATTTTAAACATAATCTGGCCTATTATAGACAAACCCATATTTTTTGCCTGTAATTTTGAAATAATAGTTTATAAATTATTGTATTTATTCATTTTATTCCTTGCTATTTTGTGCTTTCAGTGTTAAATTTGGGTTAAATTTTATTTAGCTTCACTTTAAATTATTTACTCATAGAAAAGAAGAATGTTAATTTTTATAAAAACAAATTATGATTTAAGGAAAATGCCATTTGTTTTTGTCAGCTTGTAACTTTGTTTTATTTACCCTTCTAATAGGAGAAATGGTAGCCTTAAAAAAAGTACGTCTAGATAATGAAAAGGAAGGCTTTCCAATTACAGCAATTAGAGAAATTAAAATTCTGCGGCAGCTTACCCACCAGAGTATTATTAATATGAAGGAAATAGTGACTGATAAAGAAGATGCTTTGGATTTTAAGAAGGATAAAGGTATGTATACCTATGTAAATATTCAAGTTTGCATGTTCATGATATTCGTAACCTACAGGATTTATTGTAGATACTGACATCTGAGTAAGCACATCAAACTATTCTTCATAGGAATGTTTGCTAAAATATGAGTTGAGGAATTGCTTTATTTATTCTAGCAGTTGATTGACCTGAGTAAGCATCAGGTCAGAACATATCTGTTTCTATTACACAGAAGATATTCACTATTAATGTTTTTTTAGTTTGAGATACAGTTGATAATATTAGGTTATTGAACTTTTATTTTTGATGTCATAATGTCTTCTAGTGTGGAGGTAAAAATCTTGACCTTTTCTTTAGTAGTGGTATATGGTTCGCCTTTAGGAGAAAAGCTGAAAAGAAATTATATGTGTAATAATCAGGACATATGAATGGTGAGAGAGAGACTGCTGCCACGAAGTTTAGATTTTGTAACCAAATTTGCTCCTTTATAATAACTTTAGGCTTTCAAAGGGTAGAATTCTTTCTTTAAAGGAAATCTTTATGTAAATCAGATAAAGTAGATATTCTGATCAAACAAGGTACTTAGCCGTTTTTCCCCTAACTGGACAGACAGTCAGGAACAATGGTAATTATTTTGTATAAACAATTCCTGTTTTAAAGTAGTCTGCATATATTCTGGAGAGCTAAAATCATCTTTATGTTATGTGTGTACATTAAACTACCATGCATTTTCCTCTTATGTAGGTTATAAATGCAATGACAAAGTGTTCTCTTTATTTGGTGGAAACAAAAACATCTGTTATTACAGATAACATTTATACTTGATAAGGTTTAAATTACTTTATAATCTACAAGAAGGGATGAAGAACCTTTGTGTAGATTTCTCTTGTTCTTGGGCCACATCCCATGGTGCTCTGGGCTTACTCTTTTGTAGGGCTCTGGGTACCATATGTATGCTGAGGTTCAAATCAGGGTTGACTGTGTGCAAAGCAATTGCAGCGACTTAATCCCTTTACTATCTCTTCTACCCACAAAATCATTTTTTTAATTAAAAAAGATGTCTTTTACTTTGGTTTATGTCAGTGGTAAAACCGTCATTCATTTTCCTCATTTTTAATTCAGTCTGTCTTTCTTGGCTCCTTTTTCATTACTTTCTGTTTTATAGTAGGTTACAGCTTTGACTTGTGTTGAACAGTTTGTTTTGGGGACTGGATGGGATGCTGGGGATCAAACCCAGGCTGACTTCGTGCAAGGCAACCAAATGCCCTCTACCTGCTGTACTATCTCTCCGACCCCACAGTTTTTTTTTTTTTTTATTAACTTTGTACTAGAGGTTAAATTAGTACATTTGGTTTTCCTCCAACATACCCTGAACCACCTACCACTTTGATCTGTGGGTCTGTGTTCTTGACTATTTCTCCAACCCCATCTATGCCATACTTCTGATTGTTCAACAAGTTTTCATTCCATTGGTCCTTAGAGTCATTAAATATGTTAATGCATTTGTCTTCAAGGCTTTCACATAGGGATATTTCACAGGAAATATCCCTGAGACTTAAAACTGTCCACACCCTAAACACACACACATATTCACACATGCATGTGCATAATTTGAAATGTTGTCTTCGCCTCTAGGTATTAGTCCCGAATAGTGATTCCATTTGTTAGTAATGCTTTATGTAACACCTTTCCACATTCTACCACATACAGTTGCACAATTTAAATTCTCTAGTCTTTCACTTAATGTATTTTCCCAGAATCATTGTTGTCATTGTTTTGGTACCTGTTTTGTTCACCAGTATCACCCCTACAGTGAATAGTATGGAATGGTCAATTGTTGAACAGATAAATGAGCTCTTACATAATAAAACCCTGCTTGTGTTTTTAACTTTTTTTTATTTTTCCGGTGGTGCCAGAAATCAAGCTCATATCTTATGCATGTAAGCCACACACTTTACTTCTGTGCCATTTTTATGGTCCCCACTTTAACTTAAAGACTGCTACTGGAGCCTGGAATTTATTTTAGTGGTAGCTTAACTTGCTGTGTCTATGAGATCCTGGTTCAACTCTTGGTGTCATCGACTAACAAATACATCAACATGGACTATTTGTGGTATTACATTTTATTATATTTTCCTTTCCAGGTTATAAATTCCCTGAAGTGTTTGGTCTTTTTATGCTCGTTTTGATTTGGCACACACTGTCCATATAGCTGTGTATTTTACAGATCATGTATTTACATCCTCATCTTCCTCCTGCCACCACCACTGTTTATAATTCTGTTTGTTTTTGTAGAGGTGATGATAAGAAAGCATCTTTCTATGTGAGAAACTATATTTAGGAGCCAGGCATTATTAAGTGTATTATAGTGAGTGAGGAAGTATAACATTCAAAATAATCCTTTTAAAAATTAATCTGTAGGGGCCAGAGCAATAGTACAGCAAGTAGGATGTTTGCCTTGCACGTGGTCAACCTGGGTTTGATCCCTGGCATCTCATATGGTCCCCCAACCTCCACCAGGAATAATTCCTGAATGCAGAGCCAGGAATAACCCCTGAGCATCACTGGGTGTGACCCCCCCAAAAAATTAATCTGTAATTGGGATTCAATAACATTAGCTTTAATAGCAGCATTCATTATTTTATGTATATTGTGGAGTGATTGTTGTAATTGTGTGATAGTTCATCATCACAGTTCCACAGTTTTTTGAGTGATTAAATAAAGACTTGCAAAATCTACTTTCTTACTAATTTGCTGTAAATTTTATTTACTGGAAGTTTATAGTCTCCACTTATGAGTTTTTATGCGTAGAGTAAAAATGGGATCAAATGGTATTTATCGTACTTAACAGAGTACCCTGACCATCTATTCATTTTGCAACAATGACAAGATTTTCTTATGACTGATTAATACTACTTTGTAGAAACTTCATGTTTTTTTCTAATTATTTTTCATTCTATGTATACTTAGGTTGCTTTCACTAACGCTTGCATTGAAATATGGTAAGGGCCAGAGCGATAGCACAGCTGATAGGGCATTTTCTTTGCATATGGCCTACCCAAGTTCAATCCCCAGCATCGCATATCGTCCCCCAAGCACTGCCAGGAGTAATTCCTGAGTGCAAAGCCAGGAGTAACCCCTGAGCATCGCTTAGTGTAACCCAAAAGCTCCCCCCTCCAAAAAAAAAAAACAAAACAAAATAACAACAAAAAAGAACATGGGAATGCAGAAAATTTTTTGGAATTTTTTTGAATAAATAGTCAGAAGTGGATACTATTTTCCATAGTGCTTCCTACAATTTACATTTTCACCAATTTACATTTTCACCAATTTACATTTCACATTCTCACTGACATTTGATTTTTTTTATCATAGTCATTCTGAAAAGTGCAGTGATACATAATCATATCTTATTGTATGTTTTTATAAGATCTATGTTGAGGCAGCATGATTTTATAAAAGCAGAATAAGATGTGTAGTTATTGGATTCTAATCCTGATTATGCTGTCACTGTCACTGTCCTCCCGTTGTTGATTTTGCTTGAGTGGGCCCAGTAACGTCTGTCTTGTGATACTAGTTACTGTGTTTGGCATAGCATATAGAATACGTCATGGGGAGCTTGCCAGGTTTTGCCGTGCAGGCGAGATATTCTCGGTAGCTTGCCAGGCTCTCTAAGAGGGGCGGAGGAATCGAACCCAGGTCGGCTGGGTCGGCCGCATGCAAGGCAAATGCCCTACCCACTGTGCTATGCAACAATAATACTAATTATGAGTCCATGCTGGAACAGAAAGACTATATGAGAACTTTTAATTTGGTGTTATATGTTAGAATTTAAAAAAATGGTTTTTTGGGGTCCTGCTTCCCAGGTGATACTGAGGGCACACCCGGATCACTTTCATATATGTACTGATGAAGCGAGTGCCTGGGGTAAATTTTAGCAGTTCTAGGTGGTCTTTGTTCTGGTAGTCATTGCACAGGTCTAAGGATGTGGTGCTGGGGATTACTTGTGCCACTCAGGTCCTATTCCCCGGCCTTTAGGATGACCTGCAGAGGTACTTGGGGCCCTTCACAGGACTGCAGTTGGCAGTCCCTCTGGTATTTGATATCAGAGATTGAACTGGGTTCAGTTGCCTGGGAGACATGTTCCTTAAACACTGAACTAATTTTTTTTCTCAGGTTCTACCCCAGTTTTTTTTTTTTTTTTTTTTTTTTTTTTTTTTTGGGTCACACCTGGCGATGCACAGGAGTTACTCCTGGCTCTGTACTCAGGAATTACTCCTGGTGGTGCTCAGGGGACCATATAGGACGCAGGGAAATCGAACCTGGGTCGACCACATGCAAGGAAAATTCCCTACCTGCTGTACTATCACTCTAGTACTCCACCCAAATTTTTAACAACACAATTTTAACATGAAAATCATAGAATCTAGTAGAACTAGAATTTATACAAACATTTGCATTATTATAACAAGAGCTATATAAAAATAATACCTTAAAATAAAAACTTAATGAATTTTGAAAATTTCTTATTGAAATAACACTGTATTACCACACGGTTTTGTTTTGGATGGGCCACACCTCGCTGTCCTTGGGGTTTCCTCTTGTCCTGCTCTGGGATCACTCCTGGCAGGTTCAGGGGCCAGATGTGTTATCAGGAATTAGGCCTAGGTGGACCACATGCTGAGTAAGCACTTTACTAGCTCTCCTGTTCTCTGGACCTGACTGTGCCTCATTATAACTCAGTATCTGTGTATGCTAACATAAGTACATTTGTTCAGTTTTAAATAGAAATTTTAGGAGTAGAAATCTTTCTCTGCCTATTTTTTCATGAGATCCCATGGCATTCAGTTCCCATATTATTTTATGTTTGCAGTGTTAATTTCACCACTTCCACCACGTGAGTTTCAATAACTTTCTACTGTTGTTGTCCTTTTGTCTTTTCTCTCCCATATGAACTTAATTTAAAATAGGGAAGAATTAAATATTTTTCTTGCTCAAGAAAAGAAAAATTACATAAT